AATATTTCCCAAAAATAATAGTATTTCATAAAAATTTGTTTGTGAAATTCGAGCTTGTGTATCAGCTTATTTGCTAATCAATTTAAAAATCATGATGGTACGCATTTCTTACTGATTGCATTAAAATGTACAATTGTCAAGTTTTCACTTCCTCAAAAATACTAATATTTTACTAAAAAAAATATCTTTTAAAAATTATTTATTAAAAATATTGTAAACTTTGAATTTGTAGGTATAAATAATGAACAAGATCCACATGGGAGCAAACAATAATATCAGAATAATAATATCAATAATTAATTGATTTGTTATAAGTTCCACATGAAATACTCTAAAAATTTATGTATTTTTTCATTTATATACGTTGTGAATACATGGTTTCCACTTTTAAATATGTTCCATAAAATGCGTTTCACAACTTTTTGCTGTTGCTATACTGGTAGGTACCAAAAATAAGTTTTCACTGCAATATGAATTACGTTTATCAACTTTGCTGAAAAATTCAAAAAAAAAAATAAAAATTTGCAATTCAGTATTGTGAAATTTAAGTTCCGAACTGAGCAAATATCTTCAGCACCTTCTAGCTTAAGCAAAAACTTCTACTTTGGTCTTGAAGTAAAATCAAAGCGAATGCAGCTAAAGCCCACATTACATCATTGAATACTTTGTGTTGCATACATTTGGGAGCAAACACAGATTTTTACCTTTGATAATTCCTTTTACGATTTCCATCTTTCACATACTTTCTTTTACACACAACCCTTTCACTTACATTAAGTCCACACAGGTTTTGCGCATTGCCAGTGCTGTTTACCTAAATGTACGTGTATGTATGAGTATATGCATGCAACAAGCGCCTAAAGGTATCTTACGCCTAAAAGTAAACCACATTCACCTGCTTAAGTGCCATTTGGTGGCATATAAAAGTGGGTGCTTCTTTGAGAGTTGTTTTTTTTTTTTTAAATATTGTTTTAATTTATTTCTTACTCCTTTGAATTTACTGGCATTTCAACATGGATTTCAGCATTCTCTCATACATGCAGACACAACTCATCAGCAAGAGAGTCAAGCACCAGTCAAGCGCTACCAGAAAATATACAAATGACTTATGACTACTTATGCGCACACATATGGCATATATTTTTTTCTGCCTTACATATGCATGAAAAAAGTATGACCGTACCTACATATGTATATGTTGAGTGGTGTGTTAAGAAAGTGAGTCATTTGTAAATAATTAAAGTGCACTTAAAACAACGAGTTGAAATTTGCTGTGAAAAGTGAAATAAAAATGCGAAGTTATGTCTGTATGTCTGTATATTCTACAGTTAGTTTGTTTGGTTTGCGTATATGCAAACATGCTGAAGTACTGTACCTATGTATGGGATAAATGAAGTGTATAAGCATCAGACTTACACTTTCATACATATACATATATATAGTAAAATGTTCGTACAAAAATCTCACAAATACACATGCACACACATAACTGTTTGTATAACAGATTGAAGAGACTTTGAAGAGACTTGTGAATTTCTATAAGTATGTACAATGCATGTGTTTGTTTAATAACTAAATACGAGCAATTGTAGTCGTGTGAGTACACTAATTTCGAGTGAAAAACTTAACTGCTTTGAGTGCCTTCAAGTACTTAGTAATACTTAGCAGTTGCGCTCATAAATATTTGCTTTATTTTCAGTTTGAAAACTTCATTTTGCTGCGAGTGAGTGAGACGGAGAATGAGAGGGGAGCAGCATAACGGTAGTAATTCATGTTGCGAGGTTTGGAAGAAAAAATATTCTCATACATTTTTTCACAATTACAGTAAAAATTTAGTACCACAGTTCGTTTTACTTAAACAAAACATGATTTTTCAGCAAAAACAATATTTAAAACAAGGGGTATGTTGAAAAATTCGTTCCACAAAATACGTTCCACATAAAAATTTATTTATTAAAAATCTAATTATCGCCAAATCTTCATTTTTATTTGGTCACTAAATTCACGGCTTGGGAAAAAATTATTTCATAACTTTTTTAACAAGTTGTTGTGAGGTCATACATTATTTGAAATTAATTATTTTGTTTGAATTTAGTTCCACAATTTGGAGTTCGCGAAATTTCTAATATATAATTATAGAAATGTTTCACTTTGCAGCAAAAACAAACATTGCTAAAACATGAGTTCCACAAATACGACCCACATAGGTTCCACTTGGAATTATTTAATATTTAATGTTGTAATACTAAAAACATTTTAAATTTTGCAAACACATTGCTATATCTTGAATTTGACAAAATAAACTAGATCCACAAAATAAGTTCCACAGAACATTATTAATAGAAATATTATTTTCATTTACTCACTAAAACTTCAATCGCGGCCAAAAATAATCTCTTTTTTTTATTATTATTTTTATTTGAGTAAAAATGTGAATCCTTTTTTTTTAATTTTTAACGAAATGTGGAACTTAATACATTTCGTAATTAATGAAATTTGCAATGCTATGAAATTATGAAAAGAATCTACATTTTTCATCGAAAATACATCTAAAAAATTGAGTTCCAAATATAAATAGATTCCACAAAATAAGTTCCACATAAAAATTTATCCAAAAATGCTGAAAATTTACAAACTAAAAAAATGATTTTAAAAAATTTTAGATCGTATTATTTTCCCTACCACTATGGTTAAAAGGCATACGAGAAAGAGTCGCAATGTTGTTTGGTATCAAAAGGCTTGGTAAAATCCTTCTCACTCTTAACTGCATTTCTGATATTGCTCAGCGTCAGTAAAGACGCATAAGAAGTTATACTGAACCCTGCAGATATTTATTTTTGTGCTGTTTAGTGACTCCTTGTGGAGTCTCGATTTTATAAATTGCTTGGAGTATACCCAGGTTTTATTTTCCAAGCATATTTTCGTCACATTAAATTGATTACTTTACTTATATGACAACTAGTTTGATATTTATGTAAGCGATAAGACCGAGTGAAAATAATTACTAGTTGCCCAAGAAATTTAAGTTCAATTATGCTAGCAAATTATAATAAGAGAGTACAACAGCATTATTTTTTAATTGAATTTCACCAAATATTACATATGTTCAGCTCCTACACCCGTGAAGTATGCAATGAAAAATACCACAATATTCATTTTGCCCCATTTCCAGCCAAATTTATTTTCATCTCGTTTTCGTTTATTATTAATTTAATGCAAATGCCGGGACCACCTGCAATCTGAGCTACACATGTCACTCTACATTTACATGTCATTGAATCGGCACACATAAATAGCGCATATCCGCACCCTCCACACCGCACCGCCCCACACATACCTACATAAAATGATATTTAATAAAATATTGCATATTTGTTGGCACGACAGCATCATCATTGTAAATCAAATTTACCTGTGACATGACGCGAAAATTTTGTACCATTTGCCAATGTTTTGAATAAATAAATATATAATCTATGTGAGAGCGTACGAGTGCCATGTCATGTATAAATATATACATATACATATACAATAAATATATGGCATATAAATACATATGAATGCGCGTACAAAATGGCAATGAAAGTGAAAGGCCACAATGTTACAATGCATTTATATATAATATATGAAATGAGGGTATTTGTGTGAATTTAGGGCGTGTAAATATATATAAACTTGTAAGCACAGTATAATGTATATGTATGTATGTTTGTATTAAAATATGTAAACGCGCGATTTTCAGAAATTACACAAACAACAAACTACGTTTATATAACTTATGATCAAGGCAAAGAGATTAGCTTGAAGTGGCGCCGAAAACACGCATTCACACTGATATATATACACACGTCTACACCCACTTCTTAGTAAGCATATGTCAAAATTTCAGTGCATATAGATTTATTAATAATTCTCCTTGCCTGCACACCTGCGTCACTTCACAGGCTCTTCATCTTCTTCTTCGGCTTCCTCTTCTTCTTCTGCTTCTTCTGCTTCAACATGTTCTTCATGTGCTGCCTAAAATATGATTGCTGCCGGAAATTGCTTTGCCCCGTTTTGTGAGGCATGAGAAAAGGCAGGAAAAAGTGCTGATGGCGCGTTGATTGACGCGTTTTCCTGCCAAGCGCATACACACACACACAAACATATACCCACATATACAAACGCAGAGCTCCTACATCCTCATTTTACTCTACCAACATCCATCTCATATATGCAAATAATATTTATACGTCTTTTTGACAAACGTTAATGTAAGTGTGTGTATGGTATTTATGATTCCAAGTGGCAATCAAATCACTCAAGCTGGAATTATTGTGACAAGAATATTTAAAAAGATTTTTGAAATCGAAAAAAAAACACATTATAATAAAATATTACACACACATACTCGTGAAGCAAAAAAGTTGACTTTTCAACAAAACAAAGTATTTGGAGATTTGCATATATCTTATGCTTATACTTCTAGCCAACGCATGTAGGCATATATATGTGTTGTATATGTTGCCTGGGTGTGGCTTTATGATATTTTGCGCTAGGGGTGGGTACTACAAATAAATTTATGCATATGACAACCTCTTTAGTAGGAAATTAGTACGAAGTTTGATTATTTATTAGGTGACATAAGTAATTTCACAAGACGCCTTAAAATATGCATTGTTATTCTATCTCAGCAAACAAATAACTTTGCTTACCTAAGCGGTTTATCTTGATTAGATATCTTGTATTATTAATTTTGAGCTTAGTAACATTCACATAAATATTTTATCTCATAAATATCAAAAATAATATGAATAAAGCAAATATAAATATAAATATAAATATAAATATAAATATAAATATAAATATAAATATAAATATAAATATAAATATAAATATAAATATAAATATAAATATAAATATAATTATAAAAAAAATAAATAAAGTTTATATAATTTGATCATTAAAAAAAATCTAAGCAGTTTCATTTAATTAATAATTTTATATATTTTTCATTGCAGATGATTCCGTCGATGTCACCTCCGAGCCAGACGATCAGGATGTCTCCGTAGCAGCAGCATCACATAATCCCAATAAAGGACAGTTGGAGGTGCAATTAGGTGGCGCTGTGACGTTGCAGTGTCCGCAAGGTAAAATAATCTCTGGAATATATTTAATTGTATTAATTCTTTAACCCAAAGCAGTGAGACAGAAAATAATTTAACTTTATTTTTTTTTTTTTTTTTAATATATATTAAAATGCTTTATACGGAAGTTGCGTCTAATCTCCTTAGTTAGCACCTACAACTCAAATTACAACAAAAAAAAAACAGCTTGAATTAATTATTCGAATACGTTCCTGTAAAATTTTAAATTTCCCTGACTTTGAAGAAAAGCAATGTTGCCAATTTTCTACTTAAGAATCTTTAACTTAATTTCACACGAAATAAATATTAAAGTATTATTTTCTACAATTTTTTGTACTAATTTCAACTGTAAAAAAACGATTTTTAGTACAAAAAACCAAAAATCAATGTTGCCAATTTTCAGCTCTCTTGACTAATTTCTTTCATTTCATGTGAGATATCTCAGAACTCTGAAATCTCGATACAAGAGTATCAAGAGAATTTCATACTTCATAATTTTATTTGTATTTTAAGTTCAGCCGCATCGGCGTTCACACCAAATTTTCCAATTTAGTTTATTAAATGTTATTTAGTATATCTGATTTTGACATTTGTTCACAGGTTCCTTAGGCTGCTGGTCGCATTTGGATCCGGTAACCGCACGCTTACGTGGCTTAGGTCATGGCCTTACCACACCCACCGGTCAATTTTCATTAAAAGATGTTGTCTATCATGATGCGGGTACCTACAAATGCATCGGTCAATCGCCAACGAATAAAAAGAAGCTCGAAGTATTACAAACAGTGGGCGTGACGGTGAAAGGTGAGTTCAAAGTTGTAATTATATAAATTTTTAATTAAGAATGGAGGGAGTCAAATGTTTTCTGTACAGCGTTGCCACCTTTTCAGCTACTTAGAGTCTTTATAAAAGGGACTTAGTATAGATTCAATTTATTTTCAAACAAAGAATTAAGCGACAATCGGAATGAAGCAAAGATCTTGCCTACCTCATGTGCACTCAAGTGAAACGATAAAGCCACTCTAGCACAGACGCCCGCTAAGGAGCATCCCCTCTACGAAGTTTTGAAATGGTCGGCAGACAGTAGACGGCAAAATGGTGTTCTAAAAAGCTTGCGGTAAAATTCCCGATCGTTCAGGCACAAGAGCTCAGCTGTCACAGCAACTTTTAAACTACAATATCCTTTTACATTTAGATATGCCCCACCATACGTAAATCCTTGAACCCATATCGTGCGGGGAAACCTCTCGAGGCTTGCCAAGCCTACTTCGGTACTTCCCTGGCTTCTATATCGAATATTTCCAATGTATATCCAAATGAGTATCCTCTGATAGGGCGATAAGTTATGATATTAAGATGTGTTTTATATCTGTATATTTATTTCGAAGTGGACCCCTATTTTAGTGAAGACCGATCCTTTTATCCTTCCCACAGATTACAGGAGAGTAATTGAGGCGCCAGCTCACTTCCTCCTATCTCAACAAGGACTTAGTTCCACCCTTGGCGTAGTTGGTATGAACATTCTCTCGAGAAATTTTTATTTTATTGAACAAAAAAAAAACTTTAAAACTTAAATTTCTTCACCTTCGACACTTCCAATGAAGTTATAAATATTGCAAACACGCACAACTTTACCTTTGAACCCGACCAGCACGTAGCGTATGACACCAATTCGTAGATATGCAATTATTCGCAGCCACAAGCTCGCATGGCAGGTGACTATTTGCATCCACGGCATAGCAGCGCACAATGACGAAGAGAATATGCAATGGCATGCTTTGATATGCACACACACGTACGTACATACATATGTACAGGTGCATATCTGTGCTCCACTTTACAAGTAAATTACATCAACGCCTTATGCGCTGGGCCTCACATAAATAAATATGCATATGTATTGTATATATATTCTCCTCTGCATTCCTACATTTAATAGGATATCTCTTACACGCTACACAGGCTGCATATTTTCAGGTCAAGGTGTAAAGGTCATTCGTTTTCATTCATACGTGTATATAATGTAAGTGTATGTAAGAAATAAGTTACAAAACATAAAATAAAATAAAATAAAAATCTGTTAAAGCAAACTTCGCTCAACGTCCGCGCAGAGATCAAAGCATCATTAATTTTGTAGGTCACAGCGGTGTGTGACATGTGTTTTTGTACATATGTACGTACGCATGTGAGTGTATCAGGTGTCTTAAAGTCGAGGAAAGCAGTAACTAAAATTGAATGAAAATTCAATTAAACATGCCACACACATGTCAAAGGTTTCCTTCGCAGTACGGAACTGCATGCGTATATGTACTTACATATTTACGCATACATGTGAGTTTAAAGAGTTAAAGAAGCTGTGAAATAATTTTTACTAAAAATAAAAAGAGGACGCAGAAGCAAAGAAAAAAAAAACCAATGTGATAAATATAATAAATAAAAAAAATCAAATCAAATAAATTAAATTAAATCAAAAAAAGCAAAAATTAATGTTAAACAAAATAATCATATTAAAAAAAAATTTGTGAAAGTTTCTAAAATAAAATATTAGAAAAACATAATAAATCAATATAAAATAAAACAGTATTAAATAAAATATAATTAAGCTAACTAAATTAAATAATTTAATATAAAATAAAATAAAATACAATAAAATAAAATAAAATTAAATAAAATAAAATAAAATAAAATAAAATAAAGTAAATAAAATAAAATAAAATATGAAAATTATATTAAAATAAGATGAAATTAAATTAATAAAACTAAGAAAATTTAAGTAAAATAAAATTAGCTTAACTTATTCGAATTAAAATAAATTTAATAAAATGTAATTAAATTAAATTAAGGTAAATAGTGTAAAATAAACTAAAATTAAATAAAGTAAATGAAAAAAATAAACTAAATAAAATATGATATAAAATTAAAGTAAAGTAAAATAAAATAAATTTAGTAAAGAAAAAAAGAGTATAATAAAATGATAAGAAAATAAAAAAATCAAGTAAAACAAATCGAAATAATATTATTATAAATTAAAGAAATTATATTATATTGAATCAAATTAAATTAAAATAAATTATGTTACATTAAATTGAATTATATGAAAATAAAATAAAAGACAATTAAATATTTTTATAAAACAAAAAGCAAAAATGTAAGTATATAAAAAAGTATATAAAAAAGTAAATTATATAAAATAAAATAACGCAAGAAATAAAATTATATAAAAAAAATGTTAATTAAAATTTAATAAAAATAAATTAAACAAAATTACATTAAAAACGCTAAAACAGAACAAAAGAATATAAAATATATTAAAATAAAAAGAAATAAAGAAAATAAAGCTAATTAAATTTTGTAATATTAAAACTATTTTTTTTATATTAGCCAATTGGGGATTAAAGTTTCCCCTAAATAGCTTGGTGACAGCAAAAGCTGCTTCATTTTCAACTCAATAAAACACACAAATATGTATAAAAGTCAAACTGAAAAATAACTATTTAAAAAGCAACACTTTATTACTCAATAGTGTAGAAAATAGACACTTGTGGTAATTGCTTACGTCTGCAGTGTCGCTTTTTTCTTTTGTAAATATTTCTCAAGCAGAAAACATTCACAAAATTATATAAATGACTACATAGCGCAAGCATATTATAGTAAATAGTGCAAATTAAGCAACTTAGACCCACCCGCTGCTTAAGTCACGCCTAAGAGCACTTGACTACCCATGGCGTTCAGGCGCACATACGCTTAATTGAGCGGAGAGTATAGCCGCGCAAGGGTTGTTGGTCAAATCATGCAAATTTTTGGCAAACAATTACGCAAACTAATATTTTCTTATATATTATATGTATATATTTATTGCCATTACTGAATTTAACGAATTGAATATTTGCACAGCAGTTAGAGTATTTAGCATTTTCCACCACTAAATGTCGCCGGAGGCAGCCACATTTGTTGGTCGGCGAGTGTAAGGTTTCTTTGCGTAAAAATTTTACTAATAATAATTGCATGGTGAGGTTTTCTTTTTTTTGAATTCTTATATGTCAGTATATGCATATGTTTGTTTTTTAATTGCTTATGCACAGTCAATGATTGCATGTGTAAATGACAAATTGTGCGCCCCTGCTGTGGGGTTGGGGTAAGTGAAAACATTGCGGGTGAGGAAAAAAAAGTGTGCTGTGATATTGAAAGGGTAAAATGTTTATAAAACGCGTTTATGTGTAAAAAAAAAAAAAAATACATATCTCAGTAACATTAATCTTAGAATAAAGCTCTCAATGAGAAAACTTTTTAAAATTAATTTTATTTCATTCTACAAAAGAAATATAGTTTTAAATATATTTCCAACTCTAGTATTTTGAAAATATGGGTTTTATTTTTGAAATATGATTTTGAATATTAATTTTAAAGAAAAAATTTTTTGCAATTTTTATTTAATAATGACATTTATAATTTTTTTTAATTTTTATGGTATTGTTTTGGAAAACATTATTCTAATTAAATATGTATAGTTTTCAAAGGGAAATGCTTTTAAGCATGTTTTATTATATAGATTTCCTTGATGAAATTCTGTATTTATGAGTCTTTTAGTTTTAGAAGGACACTCTTTATAAAATATTTTTCAATACATTTTTTTTTTGAAGGATACTTTTTTGATAACTTTTACATTAAAGTTTTTTAATTAAATATGTATAATTTTCTAGGTTTCCTGTCTTAAACTTTTAGATATATTTACAAGCTACTAATTTTGCTGCAATTAAATTTAATTTTGGTGTCTCAAATATTAATGGATATTTCAGATAAATATATATATTTTTTTTATTATTTAAATAATTATTATTAAATTACCTTAGTTTTCGGAGGACATTTTTATAAAATATTTTTCAATACATTTTTTTTTTTTTTTTTTTGGAAGAATACTTTTTTGATCATTTTTACATTATAATTTTTTAATTAAATATGTATAATATTATTGGTTTCATGTCTTAAATTTTTAGATATATTTATAAGTTACTAATTTTGCTGCAATTAAATTTTAATAAAAATTAATTTTGGGGTCTCAAATATTAAAGGAAATTTCAGAGTTATCTATTTTTAATTTTTATTTTATATTATATACTTATTTATTATTATTTTTAAAACTATTCATTGAGGTATTTCCAGATTTTTTTATTATAGATTTATTCTATATATTTTTTGAATTTTTGCCAAAAAAATTAACAATTACAAAATGCCTGATCAATAAGAAAAATATCATTTTATTGTGTGCTTAAAAATTATATATAAATGTGCTTCATAGCCATTAAACACCAGATCCTTTTTGAGTATTTTTACCAATAACTTTAGCAGCAAAGTAGAATTTAAGTATAAACAGAAAAAATTATGGAACAAAAAATGACATTTCCCTTTCTCCCTCTCTATCTTTCGCTGTAAGAAATTTCAGAACACACACCTACTTCTAGCACTTTTTTCGAGACTTCATTCCTCAATTGATAAAAATTTTCTGCTGTACTTAAGTATTTAATTTATTTGTATTTAAGAAAATTCTGAATTTTTCATATTTTTAAATGAAGTAAATAGTAGCATTTTTAAAGTTTCTTATGAATCTGTTTTTAGACAAGTTACCAGCTATATCCAACGGAATACAACAACAGTTTACATATATGAATGAATTTGAAAATTTTTCCAACTTTTTGTTGTGTTTTTGCTTGCTTCGTAATTAAAAACTATTTTATTTTTATTTAATTTTTTATATTAACAAAATTCGGCTTCTTCTCTACCTAACTTTATGCTGTTTTTCCAGGCCAGTCACAAATACTTTTTCTTATTTGTTATTAAATAATTTTAACTGTTCAATTTTCGTTTCCATTCACATTTCTGAACTTGCCTTATTATGATGCCTTTGCTTTGAAAAACAATTTCTGAGGTTTTCTGTCTGGTAAAGTTTGCGCATTTCAACCACAAGTTTACGGTAAATGCAAAAAAAAAATTAATTAGAATTACGTAAATAAAAACATCAAAGGGTTGAAAAGCAAATAAAAAAAGAATAAAAAAAATTAAAATAAAAATAAACTGAAATGGTATAAAATAAAATAAAATTCTAAATTCTAAATGAAAAGTGGTTTTTCTATAAGCGAAGTTCAAAATAATTCCACAAAAATACTGAGACAACCGTTTTTCAATTGGTAAAAAAAAAAATTGAATACAGAAATATATGGAAATTTCTAAAAACCAAACCACAAAGCTTTCTTATTATAAAACATTTTATGTCAGCCTCATTGAAAAAATAATAAATTATTTTGGTCGTTAAAAATGTATGGAGGGTAGACATAAAGAGCTTTTTTCCTGTATTCTGCAAATAGCCTTCAGCATGTTTCAAAAAAAAAAACGAAATGTTTTTATTATTTTCAACTTAATAATCAACTCAATAAATTTATATTTTTTAAATATTTTTTAAATTATATATTATATTATATTTAAGTGCTAATTTCCGATTAAAGTTTTCTTTAGTTTTCTCCTAATATATTTTTAATTTGTTTTTTAAGTTATTAAATATCTATTTTTTAATAATTTTTAATTTATATTATTTATTTTAAATCTAATTTTAAGTTTCTGAATTTTTTTTTTTGGTTCATAACTCTTAATTAATTTTTCTCTAATTATATGTGAATACATGTGAATATATCAGTATTTAAATCTGAAAATGGCAAAATTAAAAACACTTAACTAAAAGCTGCATACTCACACTCCTTGGCCATGTTTGAAGTTGAAGGGCGCACGAAACCATCAACCGGCGCCGAACCAATCGTAAACAGATTTTACTGCATACATCCGGTTACAAGAAAACAGACATTTTTGGTGAAATGTCAAAGTGAATGCAGACAGTTGAAATCATTTCCGTTGGCTGGTGCTACCAAAGGGAGAGACTGTTTTCTAAACTAAGGAGGAAATCATATGAAAAGTTATTAAAAATTACTAAGAATATAAAAAAATTCAAGGATTGCAAATCGAAAAAAATATAAAAAAGCGTTAGAAGTATGACCAAAAAATTAAAAATAAATACAAAAAATTAAAATAAATTCAGTATATTAAAAAATAAATGGATTAAAAGTTAATGGAATAACAAATGGCCTGAAAATTAACAAATAAAAAAATGCATAAAAATTAATAAAAAAATTATAAAAATTTAAAAAAAAATATTTAAATGCAGGACAATCTATGTACTTAAAAAAATTGAAGCCAAAAAATAAATTTAAATAAAAATACATTAACACTAAATTTAAATTAAAATACATTAACAACATGAATATTAAAAAATTTTATTTTAATTTTGAAAATCGATAAAAAATACTTTAATTAATTACAAAGTTATACAATCATACTAGAAAATCAATGAGTAAAAAATTAGAATGAAGGAAAATTAAAATATAAATAAAAAAAAATAAAAATAAAAATAAAAAAAAAGAAATTCAAAAATAAAAAAATTTATAAAAAAAAATAATCAAATTAATTATATTAGATACTCCATGGACTAGCGAATGGAAAAAATTTCGAGAAATTATAAAAAATTAACTGATTCAGCACTAAATTAAACAAAGGAATATATCAAAATAATAATTTAATGATTAAAAAAAATAAATTTGGAAATTTAAGGAACTGAAATTTTATACAAAAAAATAAAAAAATGTATATTCAATGGACTGATTAAAAAGAAATTCAAAATAAAATATTGGATTATCAATTCATAAAAAATTTGATACAAATGTAAAAAATGGCTGATAATTAATGAACTAAAATAAACATTAAAAATTAATAAGCAAACTTGAAATAGTGATAAATAAATAAGATAAAATTTAGAAAAAGAACCAAAAATTTTGAAACAAAAATACTGGGTTATCAATGGGCTAAAATAAATAAAAAAAAATTATGCAATCAAAATAAATATATTGAATATTCAATGGACTAAAAATTAAAAAAAAATAAATAAATATAAAAAAAATTATTAAAATATAATGTTTGAAAATAAATAAAATCTGTAATGAAAACTAATAACAATTTTGTTGTAGAATAAGAAATATGTTTTTGTCTAAAATTATCTATTTTACTTAAAATTCTACTAAAGCACCCAATATCCGTAGAATTGACTTACTCACTCAGCTCATTCTCGCACTCAGTGCTCTCTCTCTCTCTTTAATATACATTACTCTAAGAACTCTCTCCAGTTCACAAAATACTTCAATCATCACCCGAGCTCTCAAACTTTTATTTTATTTACTCACAATTTCATTTACTTATTTGTGAAATCTCTTTCCAAAGCCTTGCCCTTTTTTACTGATTTCCCTTTCGTATTGCCCACGCCACCTCCTTTTTCTGCTTTTGGTTGGCTTCGAACTGTTGTTGGCAAGCAAATCAGTGTCTTCCGTTCCATATTTGTCCAATGCGGCATGATTGTCTGCAAAGTTTTCTGTCATGGCGACAAGTGTAATGCAAATTTATACATTTATATACATATATGCAAACATACGTACACGCAGACAAGCAGACGCATAAACTAAAACGCCATATATGTATGTGTGTGGGTGTGCGTAATTACATAATGTCCTAAAGCAATACAGAAATTAAACTCAAACTTTGCGAAAAAACCAAAATACCCAATGCCGTGTTGGACGCTTTCATGTTGCTGTCCTCGGTGGTGTCGATGATGGCGACCATTAATTTGATGAGTTTTTGGTAGTAAGCAACCACGAAAGTGTAAACACACAAGTACATGCACTATGATACAAGATATGAGACAAAGTCTTATAATATATATATTTTAATCTAATATGGTTATAAAGATTTGATTCGAAAAATTACAAAAAAAAAAATTAAACCCTGAAATTATGACCTGAAGGCAATGTGGAGCGTTAAATAATTAGTTTAATATATTTAATTTTTTTCTCAATTTTACACCTGAGTAAACAAATCATATTATTGGAAATAATTGGGTTATTATATTTTCTTCTTTTTTTTGTTATTCAGCTCACTTAAACTTAGTTCAGCGCAATTAAAAAGTAGCATGTAGCTATACTCAGTAAACCTTTAACCTAATGCGTATATTAATTTGAATATAGCAGTATCTGAAATTCAATTCAGCTGAGGTTTCATTTAAAATCTGACAAGTATATATAATTTAATCGATGTAAAAAATGTTGCATACAATTCAGCGTAGTCTACAATTCGGGTTTAACTTTTATTTTACTAATGTTTTTTAAAAAGTCTATTTTGTTGATTATTCATCATCATTGAACCTTATTCAGCGCCTATAAAAAATGGCATTTTGTAATATTCAGTTAAGCGGTAACCTTATGTGAATATTAATTTGAATATAGCAGTATCTGAAACTCAATTCAGCTAAACTTTCATTTAAAACTTGGCCAGTACATATATTTACACAGATATAGAAAATGCTGCATATAATTCAGCACAGTCTACAAAAAGGTGCAAAATTTAGTTAAACTGTCAGCTAATGTGGATATAATTTGAATAGTTAAGTTTTCGTATGAAATTTTACGACTACATATATTTTGATTGATATGGAAAATGCTGCTGATAGCGCAGCGCAGTCAGCAACTCTGTTTTACATTGTTGCCTAAAAATTTATTTTCTTCAGCACATGTAAATCAAATTCAGCGCCTATAAAAAGTAGCATACAGCTATACTTAGTAAATCTATAACCTAATGAGGATATTAAATTCAATATATCAGTTACTGAGTTTCAATTCAGCTAAGTTATTGTTTGAAATTTGACGAAAGCGTAAATTTTCAATGCCTTAGATAGTGCAGCTATTAGTTCAGTGCAGACTATAATTATGTATGAATGTTTTTTTTTTTGCTAAAATTACCCGAAAACTCATTTTTGTATCATTCAGCGTTATTAAACCTAATTCAGCGCAGTTAGAAACTGACATATTTCAATAACTTATAGTGCCACCACCTTTTTTATCACTTTTTATTTATTTTGCTTCAATTCAGCTCACTAGAAATTTCATAATTTCCATCCCGACCACTATACATACCCTCCTACAAAGCCAAGCTTTTAAGCACAAAGATATGTATGAGCTTTCATCTCACTAAATACTAACACTTAGCAATACCACTCTCCAAAGAATGTTGTTGTTGCGCACATTTAGACGCCATGACTTCTGACACTGTCGCCGCTTAGCTACTGCAGTTGACACACAATACTGAGCACAGCTCAGCACGTCAGTGGACACCTAGCCATGCGGAGTGTAGTATTTACGAACGCGCTTTATTTGTTATTGTGCAGCGCGAGCTTAACACAAGTGAATTTATGTGAGCCGACATCCGTTGCAGTAATACTGTTTTGTAGTTCTTTTCTTCCTCTCTCTGTACTGTAACACCAGCCAAAAACGCATTTAATGCGAACAACGCACGAGTACATCATCAACAGTCCCATCATCAGCGGCAGCGGCGGTGGCGGCGGCGGCATAATTTTTGTTATCATGGCGCCAAAAAGCCTGCTTAAGCGCACGCACATCGCTTTGTTGCGGTGATTATGAGTGAAGAATGCACTCACTTGTATTTGTATGCATGCGGTTGTGTAAGTGTGTCTATGTAAGCGCGTTATCAGCCGACAATTTCATGCTTAAATGGCGACAATGCTGCGCCGCTGATAAAGTGTTTCCAACAGCATCACCGCCACCACCGCCACCACTACAACCGCGAATTGCCCTAAACGCATAATCCTGCAAACTACTACGACGATGGCATCATCAGTGTTCGGATGCCGAAACTCAAATGTGCAGCAAATAGCAGACGAAATCGCAATAAAAATCTGGTGAACGGAGCCATTTTTCTGACTAAAGTGGTTAAAATATTTAACTGTGAGAACTTAAGAGTTAAAAGCTACGCAGTAGTATATTACGAGCAACAATTTAGTAAAGTATTGTTACAAATATTGTCGAAAATGCCCCAAAAATCATGTTCGGCAGGTCGTAAGATGGTTGAAGTATGCTTAGAAAATATTTCTTATAAAATTTAATACAAGTCTTCTTAAACTAGATTTTAATATAAAGGACTTTAACGTACTTAGCGCATAGAATCAAAAAATACTCCCAGAAGTATGCAACATTTTTTGTTCATTGATGTAAATTGCATTGAAAGTCATAAAACCAGACCAAGCGAAGCTTTTAACGTGTTGCGTGCTCTCTAAAAGGATAAGCGAACCGCTACAATAACAACAACAGTAGCAACAACCAATGGATGGATTACAATAATCTGATCTGATTGGACAACAAACAGGAAAGTGGGATCCATCCAAAAGATGTTGCAGTAGCTGAAAGGATAATGAGTTGGAAAAACAGCAAAAGTCATAAATCCCACAGCCCGTCTGCATATGCTTGCTGATGACATAGGGTCAAAACTCAGCGGCAGCCGGGTTCTTTTTTAACAAAACTCCCAATCTCTGAGCACTATAATGATGCCCGAAATATACAGCAGAAACTTATTTGGGTATATTGGATCCACTACTGTTATTTTGGGAAAATCAAACTAACAAAAGAGAATCGTATCGGCTGATATTCCTCCTCTTTCAATTGTTGAAGGCAAGTTAGGGCTTGGTTCAGCCGTCTTCCAACCACCACCAAAGCCCAGCAGCACATCAGTATTCCTTCCCCACAGATAAATCATATGCTTTACGAAAGTAAAACTGTTCTGATACTACTTTACCTGTCAAAAACCTATGACTTCATCTTATATGGGGAGCTACTTCTTCATAATGAGAAATCATCTCTTAAGCAGAATTCCATATGCTGTTGATTGCTTGATATTGACGTCTGGCTAAGATGTTGACAACCATTGAACAAAGCCAAATTTCTATCTCGTCGACCTTTCGCACTTCCGCGCAGCTTGCTCTTCGTCCTTCCCAAAGAAATTGTCAGAAAGCCTCTCGCAACGAAGCCTTTAATCCTCAGTTCTGTTAGCCGGTGGCACTTGGGGGAAAACAAATAAGAATTGTTCGAAAAATACAACCGTTCGGTCCAAAACTACTCTGCGCAGATTTGGATGACGGGCACAATCTAGACCCAGATAAAGAAGCCTTAAGTCTACCAGAACACTGGCTTGATGACCATAGGAGGATATCTCCTTCAACTGCCAGTATACCACTTGCACAGAGAATCCACTATTTTTTCAGTTAAGAAGCATAATGCCTTGCTGACAAGAAGTAATTGTTTGGATGCTAACGTAAAGATCAACCTGAACCCCTTTCCAGGCAGAAGAAAAATGGATAAATTGACTCGGCCTCCCGTTAACTAACATCGATGACATCGACTAACTTTTCCAACTACAAAACATCAACAACATGAGGATCAATAAATCTACTACCGAAGCTATATAGTGCCAACACTGAACGCCACCCTGAGTCTGCAAATGTCATCAGTCGGATTTTAATATGCGGCAGTAAATTTTCATTGCATACTTACAGGCCGCAGTTTGTTAAATGAAAGCTATGTTTAAAGAGATGTTGGATGAGAATCGCCGCCATCGTCGACTGCTTTTGAAAAGAATATACAACATTTTATGAGCACTAAACGCTCCCACATCCAGTAGTGAAGGCTACAACAACTATGACAAAAGCAAAAATCCATTCAACTGCAACAACAGCGAGCAATTGTGTGGCTTAGAATTCAACTGCAACAAACTGTAAAAACCGCAACCACAGCCTCCAGACCACAATGTCCGGCCGATTTTGGCGTAGCTTTTGTTACATTGTCATAATTTTTGTTGCTACACACACGCACAAACACACACACACACATACACACGCCAACCGAGTTGTCTCTTCAGTGGCGGAGGAAAGCAGGACCCCCCGCTCGTATATTGCAAATTGCTGAGCTTGCTAATGCGTTGAAAAGTGCAAGTTGCTGGTTGTTGTTGTTGTTGAGCATACATATTCCATTTTTGTTGACTACTCTACTGGTTGTTGTTGTTGTTGTTGTTGGACATACATATTTCGTTCTTTTTGACTACCCTACTGGTTGTTGAAAGCTGCTGCTGTTGTTGTTGTTGGTGTTGTTGTTGTTGTTTTTGTTGTTATTGTAGCCGCCTGCATTGTAACAGTTTCGCTAGAGTTGCAACATTTTGCAACATTTTTTATGACTTGTAAGCGTTTGCCAACTCCTCTTGTAAGCACTTATCAGTTTCTGTATGCCTACACACGCATAAACATACATATATACACTTACATATGAACATACTCATTTATATACACACATACATTTGTCAGAGCATTTTCATCTAAATGCAAATACATAAGTTATGTGGCATACTTTAAGGCGCATCATTACGTGACAAATTGAAAATTTCTAACAAGATTTATACAAACTACTTACATAAATATATATGTACAAACACCGCAACACACTTGCCGCCATACTTGTAACGGTACGTATTGTAACTGCTGTAACTGTTTTCAAGTGCTCAAGTGCAATTAAATGTTCTTCTGTTGTAAAGTTTTTAATTTCCCTAAAGTTCCCAATTTTAAGCGAAAGAGTGAGTGGAAAGTGCACTGCTTTTGGGCAAATTTGTGGCATACTTTTCAGCGCCGTTACCAATCCATATGCATGTGTGGAAGGGGCGTTGTAAAAAGTTGTTGAAGGAAATGTGTTACTCTCAGTTGGTTGATAGAATGCGGGCGATGAATAAAAGATTTTGGAATTTATTTGCTTCACTTTGTTACGCCTAAAAGCGTGCTATCAGTTTAATGATGATATGATGTTACGTTGGCTGCATTTAAAATCAGGTTTTATCCTATGGCAACGGACAAAAATAAAAATAAAAAAATTATAAAATAAAACAGAATTAAAAAAGAATAATAAAATTTACAATAATTATAAAACGAAAAGCAAAAATTTTAATCAAAAAAAAAATTGAATAAATTATCAAAAATATAATATATATCTATATATATATATATATATATATCTATGTAGATAGATATACATTTCCATCCGACCATGTTCCTCCAAGAAACTTGCACATGCACGTTAGCAGTTCTTTGAATAGTTTAGATGGCAGCTCATTGGTTGGCTTTATTATGCTCGTGGCGTGCAGGGGCTACTCTTCAACATCGATTGATGATTCGTGTTTTTCATTTTTTGATGAAGAGTTCCTTCAATTAATTTATTTTACTACGGCCTTCTGCCGCTAGAACACCACTTTGGGTCAAGCTTGAGTATGGTCCATAAATTCCATTAAATTATTATTTAATAGAGCTTCATTTGGCAAGTTTTGTTGTCAACATAGGAGTCACACTTCATTCTTCAACTTCCGGTATTTTTCACACTTGCCACGCGATTAATAACAATTTTTTTCTCCCCGCCGCAGCGCATGGTATTCCTCTTCCGATATTGTCGAAGACAAATTGTTTCTCCAGAGGCCGTCTCACAGTTCCCTAATACCATGGATAAGTACTCTCAGAAAGCCCAAGAGCAGATTCCATTCTTAAGATGCTTTTGAATTACTCTAGTAGGATTTAAGTTTTATGTCTTCAGTCTTTTTTTTTTGCTCACCTACAAAACAACTCGCTCCCAAGTTTTCCCTCGCCCCCACCAGTAAAACCGCCAATGCTGGCGCAGAAAAGACACCACAAAAATCAAAGAAAACGAAATGAGCACAACTGTTGCATACCAACTAGGCGCAGAACAGCCTGTTTTGTTTGTGTAAGCGCATATGCGTGTAGTTGTTGCCCATAGCAACAGATGCAACAACCGCTTGCCATGCAAGTCACCACAAACTCATGCATATGCGTCCCATGCACAAAGCACAACCACTCCCGCATACGCGCACTCAAGCACTTGCATAAATTTACCCAAAGCAGTATCTAACGGTAACAACATCAGCGACATGTTGAAGCAGCTGTTGCCAGGCAACTACTTCAAAACAGCATAAAGATGAGGGAATGCATGAGTGAGTGGCTGGATGAATAAGTTCGTACCCCCTTACTCACATACTTGGTCACACACACACAGACATACATACATACGAGTTTATACACATGCCTAGGCTGCTTTATAATAAAGAAAAAAATATTAACGCGAAGTGGGTAAAAGTGAATTTAAAACAAGTTGGTTAAGCACAAGTGAGAATGGCGAAGGAATTCATAAGCGAAAAAGTAGAAGAAGCAGCAGGGGAAGAGGAAGTAGATTTCATATGCAAAATACGGCTTAGAGCTGCGCTGAAGAAAACAATAAGTAGTTCAAAGTTCGCAAAGAAGAACTAAGTAATAAAAAGACCTGAAAACTGAGGGAAAAGACGAGAATGAAGAAAAAATAAAGATATATAAACTGCAAAGAGGGTGATGTAGCAAGAAAAAAACTGCCATTTTTTAATTTTACGTAGCGAAATTCAGTGACTTTGGGGTATATATATACCAATATATATATGAAAGAGTGAAACAAGCAGGCAACCCCCAAAATGGGATTTTATTAGACAACAAAAGTTATTTGCCATAAAAATGTAGCAACATACGAATATACAACAATTTTTACAAATATTATAAGAAAATAAGTTGTCAGCATATTTTTTGACAAAAAACTTACAAATAAAACAACAAATAAAAAATAAAAACTTAAAAATTTTTAAATTTTCAAAAACTCTCCAAATAAATAAATTTTGAAATAACTTTAGGACTTAAAAAATGTCAAAAAATTTTTTTAGCAAATAAAGTTTAAAAATATCTTAAAAGAAGTAAAATTTAGGAAATCCAATATTACCTTTGAAACAACAAATTAAACAAAATAAAATTTTATGAACATCAAAAGAATAAATGATTTTTTTTTTTCAAATACATGTAGATATTTTTAGTTCATAAAAAAGTACAACATTAAAAAAAAAAATTTACCAACAAAATATTTATTAAAAAAATTTTAGAACTTAAAAAATGTTATAAATTTTTTATTAGCAAATAAAAAATTAAAAAATGTTTGAAAAGAATTAAAAGTTGGAAAATCCAATCAAACGATTTCTATTTCAAAAACAATTCGGTATTATTTATTAATTAATAGTTATTAATAATTTTTTTTTTATTAATAATTTTTTTTATTAACAAATTTTTTTTTTATATTTTATTATTATGTTTTTGCCCAAAAGAAATTTCGAAAAACTTAAAAGTATTTAAAAAAATATAATTCAAAAACTGATATTAAACCAACGAAAATTTTTAGACATTAAAGTTTTATTAACCTTACAAAAGATTGGAATCGTTTGGAAAAAATTTTAGAACTCAAAAAAATGTTAATAAGTTTTTGAAAAAAAAAAATCATAAATATTTTCCAAATAAATTAAAAAAATAATTATAATTTAAATTTTATCAAAAATTTTCTTTTTATTTTTTTATTTTTTATTAATAATTTTTGTCAAAAAGAAATATTGAAAAATTGAAATGAACTTAAAAAATTAAAATTCAAAAACTGATATTAAATATATGAAAATTTTTAGGCACTAAAATTTTATTAACCGAACAAAAGATTGGAACCGTTTTGAAAAAATTTTAAGACTCAAAAAAATGTTGACAAGTTTTTGAAAAAAAAAATAAAAAAAATATTCCAAATAAATTAAAAAAATAATTATAATTTAAACTTAAAAATTATTTTTAATGAACTGTTATCAATAATTTTCTTTATATTTTTTTATTTTTTTATTAATAATTTTTTGTCAAAAAGAAATATTGAAAAATTGAAAGGAGTTTAAAAAAATATAATTCAAAAACTGATATTAAAAAAACGAAAATTTTTAGACACTAAAATTTTATTAACCGAAAAAAAGACTGGAGCCGTTTTGAAAAAATTTTAGGACTCAAAAAAATGTTGATAAGTTTTTGAAAAAAAAAAAATAATAAAAATTTTCCAAATAAATTAAAAAAATAATTATAATTTAAATTTAAAACTTATTTTTAATGAACTATTATCAATAATTTTCTTTTTATTTTTTTATTTTTTATTAATAATTTTTTGTCAAAAAGAAATATTGAAAAATTTAAAGGAGTTTAAAAAAATATAATTCAAAAACTGATATTAAAAAAACGAGAATTTTTAGACACTAAAATTTTATTAACCTTACAAAAGATTGGAACCGTTTTGAAAAATTTATGGGATTCGAAAAAATGGTAAAAACTTTTTGAAAAAAAAGTCATAAAAAATTTTCCAAATAAATTTAAAAAAAATTATAATTTCAAAACTTAATAATTAAATTTAAATTTAATTTAATTAATTTTAAATAATAATTATTTTCAAAAATTTCTTTTTATTTTTTATTTTTTATTAATAAATTTTTGGCAAAAAGAAATATTGAAAAATTGTAAGAAATTTAAAAACTGATATTAAATAAATGAAAATTTTTAAACACTAAAATTTTACTAACCGAACAAAAGGTTGAACCCGTTATTTTTTCTTTAGCAAAATAAATTGAAAATTTTATAAAGAAATATGATTTAGTAAAAAAAATGAATAACTCAAATTATTTTTAAAACAAAAAAAATATGTAAAAATAAAAAAATAAAAACAAATTTTTAAATTGAAAAAAAATTAAAAATAAAAATTTTTCGTTAAAAAATAAGTTTTTCCTATAAAAGATTACAAAAATGTTGAAATAAAAGTAACTTTTAAGAATCTGCAAAATTTCTAATTAAACGAAATAAAAAAGAATAAAAATAGCTAAAATTTTTTTCAGAATTTAATTTTTCTACCCAAGAAAATTTAATTATTTTTTAAACGCTTATAACTTATAATCACAAAAGGAAACGTTTTACAGTCGAACTGTATTCGATCGTAAAAAAGTATTAAGTGAAAATAAAGAAGAATATCAAAAATCGTTTAAATTTAGTTTCGTGTAATTAAACATTTTTTATAAATTTATTTAATTTTTCTAACTAGAAATATTCTGAAAATTATTTTTTTCAAAATGTTTAAAAAATTATTAACCAAAAAAAAAACATTTTAAAATAGAATTATATTCGAACGTAAAGAAAAAATTATTCAATTATTAGGTAACAAAACAAAAAAATTATTTTTAATAATATTTACGGGAACTCTTGTGCTTCTTTCACACAATTTCAATGTAGTATTTGCATTATTTGCTAGCAAAATATTCTAAAAATTATTTAAACTTTTTGAGTGTTAAGAAAAAAAATTATAGTCCAAGCATTTATTTTAACAAATTCATACTAATTTTTACGTTTTTTGAAAGATTATGACGAAATTTTCGTTTAAGGCAGTACTTAATAATTTTATTAGTACAAATCCAACGGTTTTAAATACTCAGCTACATGCAGACATGTACATATGTATGTACCTACTCTCAGCACCATTACACTCCACTCCTCTAATACAGTTAAGTTTCGTCCTTTCGCCCAAACTAAACTTTGTTAATTGTAAATGCATTTTTGTTGTCAACGAGTTGCTTCTACTAAGTTGTGAACTCTCCGACAGCACAGCTGAAACCCTCTTTCGCCATACACTCCACACTCGTAGCTGCCTCACTGTGCTGCTGAAAAAAAGAAAACAAAAAACTCTTTGAAGATTGTTTAAGGTCATTTAATGTGCAGTCATGTTGCAACATTGGCACACTGCACTAATTCACTTTTCGAGTAGTTAGTTGGCGCTAGAGAGTAGGCGAAGAGCTGAACAGCAAAATGGGCGACAGTCGACTGTTAAGCCACTAACTGGCGCGCTCAACTGACCTGAAGTAAGTGAAAAAAAAAAAAAAAATAAAAATAAAAATAAAAAAATATTAAAAACAAAAAAAAAAAAAGAAGCAATAAGTCTCGCTTTTAGAGCTGGTT